ACAGCTGGTAGACTGCAAAAGGACAATTTTAAAAGAGAGAAAGAGAAAAAAAAATCATTTTCCCAAAGGACATTTTCCAAGGGGAAGCATCAGCCTGGGGTAACCATCCTGCCTTTGGGGATTCTTTACGCAAAAACTATGGAATTGTGCCTGAGATCAAGGAAACAGCTTGTTCATGGCTCCTTTAAGTAAATTAAAACCAGCAGTTGTTCACTTGCAAGAGCTTTAGTCATCTTGAAGCTTAAAAACAGGTTTATTATGTAAAAGCAGACTAATCTAGATCATCCTAAAAATTTTCAGCATAGCTCCCCAACAGAATGAATTTCAAGAATTAACAAGCCAATTTATACATCACACTTAAATCAACCAGGTTTATTTCTGTCTATAGGGTCTCTATTCACTACATAACAAGTTATTTTGAGCAACGAAGACTTCTCAAATCCAGTAAATTCTAAACATTGCATGTTATGCAGCTACTACTTTGAGTTCCTTCTCTGAAGCCATGCTACCTGCCATTAGTCAATCTTGCGACAAGCTACCAAGTTCACACACACACACACACACACACACAACAAAACAAAAACTGCCGACACAATGAAGACATCCACATCACCCAGTACTTAACATGTAGCAGACACGGGTGCCGCCATGATACTGCTCTTCCCTCCCACCATCATCATCATCATCATTCTTTCAACAGCTGAGTTCTAAGAAGCCCCAAGAGGCCAGGTGACTGGCCAAGATCTCAAAGGTAGTGAAGTGAAAACAGGAAACCACACATCCAGGTCTAACTCCAAAGCGAAGATCCCTCTAAGATATCATGTTCCTCCTACGGTTAGTTTGTGAATTTTATTCTCAACCACAATGAAAAGTCAGGATTTTTTTAAATTTTATTTTTTATTTTTTTTGGTACCAGGGATTGAACTCAGGTCCTTGCGCTTGCGCAGCAGACAGTGAAACCACTGAGCTAAATCCCCGGCCCCAGGATTCTTTTTCTATGTCATCTACAAGGTCTTATTTGAGGACTTGCTTAACTGTTTCAGAACCCTGCCCATCCCTTGTTTATATGACAATGTCTTCTTTTTTATTATACATACCGCTGTTATCTAAGTGACAGCCCACAAGGGACAGAGAGGCCCCAAGGACTCTCCAAATTTCAAGAAAATTGCATGTACAGTAAGCACAGTGATTATCAGCAAAACAGCAGGGATTTGGTAACTTCAGTGCTGACCAGCTACAAAACTGGACAGACTATTACTACGTGGATGAGCATGGTTAGTAACAAAAATATCACCATGGAAAAGCAAATATAGTAATCCCAACCTAAATACAATTTCAAACCTTACAAACACAAATCCTGAAAGAATTTGCATGGAAAATAATTTTTATTTCTCAGGAACTAGTAATCACAAAAATTCACACTTTAGAAAGCACTTCCTTCACTTTAGAAATCTTCTTCAAGATATGAGTCTGTTTGTCTAATCTGAAATGAGAGCCCAAGTTCCCCAAGCTGCATTTAATCAGCAGCTGAGTCCCACCGGCTTCCCAGGCTTCCATGAGGGCCTTTATCTGGAACTGCTAAAAGCTTCCTCTGTACTCTGTGACCTAATATGTCACAAAACAATAGAAGTGGGTTTCCCTGTCTAACCACTATCCTAGTATTAATAAGAAAGCGTGGGCTTGGGGGAACGCTTTCACATATACATGTACAAGATCTATCTTTCTTTTAAATCCTAATTTATGATGTGAATCTTGAGAATCTCACAAAAGGCACATAAATGTTTTCCAAGAGAAGAATAATCCGGAAACAGTGATCTGAAGAAAAGAACTAAACAATGATCTTAGTTTGGTCATTTAACAGTGTGTGAAAATGGTGGATTTTATCTCTTGATGTAAGCTTCCTTTGGAGGACCAGCAAGGATTCAGTCTACACTAACAACAAGGGCTCTTGCTGCAGAACTATGGATTCTCAGGAAAAGACGCTCATAGCCACAGGGGCACAAGGGCATCCCACAGGCACGGAGAGGCCCAAATTAAAGTTCAAACAAGAAATACCTTCTGGCCTGCTAGGCAAGAGCAATCCACATATTTACATAACTTTATTATGATTCAATGAATAAACACCTTTTCAACTTCCAAACCTAGAAATGATTCTGCATGACAAAGACATCTTGGATAAATGAACTTTAATTTGAAAGCTGAATTGTATTTAATAATCTAATTTGTTTCCACAATAAACAGGCTTGCTGAACCAGGCATGGTGGGGCATGCCTGTAATCCCAGCATTTGAGAGGCTGAGGCAGGAGGATCATAAATTCTGGGTCAGCCTGTGACACACGGCTAATTCAAAGCCAGCCATTGACTACACAGCAAGACTGCGCTCCTCCGCCAATAAAACGCTAGCAAAAGATAAAATTCAAGTATTTTTTTAAAACCCATTTCTGATGAGCATGCTTTCTCCAAGGTACCACTGAAGAGACTTAACTTTAGAGAATAATACCAAGGAGGCAAAAGACTCAATGCAGTGGTCTATCTGTACTTGAAAGGGACTAGGCCTATACTGGTGTAGTGTACAGGCCCCTAAATCATCAGAAGCTTGATGTTTTAAATGTATAACTGCTCTTTTATCCCACCATATATGTTCAAGAGAAGTTCTTCTTTCTTAACCAGCGAGCTCATGAATCAAGATTAACTCAAAAGTTTCTTTATTCTTCTTATTCTAAAATATCTTGATTAAGAGCTATCCTAGTTATGGGATTAATAGACTCTTTCAGATGGAAAGATAAACTCTTTTTTTTTTTTTTTGTACTGGGGGTTGAAACTAGAGCCTTCACAGTATGCTACATCCCCAGCCCTTTTCTTATTTTTAATTTTAAGGCAAGGTCTCAACTAAATTGCTAAGTTACCCAGGCTGGGCTCAAATTTGTGATCATCCTGCCTACAACACTCAAAAAAATGCCTCAGCCTTTTGTAGTTCATTCCTGCATAAAACAGTAAAACAAAAGAATAAAAGGTATGGAAGAGGTGTACAGACAGACACATTTTCATAGGTCTTTATAAAGAACCTATATGTCAAAATATTAAAAATCTGATTAAGTGCAAAAACTTCTAGAAGCTTCCTGAATCCTCCTGATATACACTTTTTATCCACTGGCCTACTCTAGTGCTAATTTTCAATTTCAACATCAATATTCTTAATTATCATCATAACTACCTTTCCATACAATCTCTCATTAACTTAGTGCTTTCTGGGACTTGTACCTGGGCAGCCTATACACTTCTGATAACACGTACTCTTCTTATCCTTTGGCTCAAACACAGAATTCACCTTAAAAAGAATTGATCTAAGAGAGCAGCAGAAATTTAACACTGCATTATATAGTAAAATATTTTATACTTAACTAAAGGGCACTCAATGGTATAACCTGGTTTGGCTCTGGAAGCAATTACATGCTTTCTGTGTAGATTTGCTTGAAAAAAAAAAAGGGTCTTTCCTGGAGGCAGAATTTCCACATTCTGCACTCAACATTCTAAACTAACTCTGGACCTAGGGAGTACTCAGTAACAGTCACAAGTCTTGAGGTGAGCAGGGAATCTAAGACCTGAGTGTATATACCCCCAACCATAATTTAGCTGTGTCACCTTGGGTGGTCATTTGACCACCATGATCCATCCCCAATACCTTCATCTTCAAGATGAAGAAAGACTAAGTTCTATTTAAGGTTCCTTCCAATTCCAACTCTAGAATTGTATGGATCTATGAAAATATCAATCTTTCCCCATTTCAAAGACAAGCAGCAGCCAATAATGGCAAGCCTGCCTAGATTTTTTTTCCCTTTTTTAAAAAAGCCAACTTGAGATGCTTTCTTGGGTTGAAGTTTTATTTAGCGTAATAAACCCCAATGAAAACGAGATGTGAAAACGTGGACAAGGAGGAAAGTTAAAAAAAAGAAGAAAATCACACACTAACGTCGTTAAAATAGAAACTTCAATTACCTTTGGGCCAGTCTGTCAATAGTTATTCCAAAGCAACTAATCACTGGCTTCCTAAAATAGAAATATATTTATCGCTGTTTCCTTCTCATCCCGAGATTGATTCTAAATAAAAAGCACAGCGTCTAAAATCAATTCACAACTTCAGCATAAGTTGCAGGGAAACTCCGCAGAGCTCGCCAAGTCATTTGGGTCTAAGTATGATGAGAGCTAAGAAAATGGGCTCTTACCATAAGACGTGAGAAACGCACAAGAGGCAGGTGACATCTGGAAAAGGGGACAGCATTGCCACAAGGGATACAAGCTGAGGACCTTCAGGCAACAGGTCCAGAGATGGTATCGCAGCCCACCCGGTAAGGGGTCCGTCGCTGTCACCTCGCCCGCCCTCCCCCATGGCGTCGTCTCTCCCCCGCCCCCCATCCCACGCCCCTGCGGCAGATCTCTCTCTCATCGCTACCTGCCCCGGGCTTCCCGCCCTCGGCGGGCCCTCTGATCCCACCAGGTAAGAGGCCAGACCCAGTCGGTCCGCCACTCGCGTCGCCCCCACCACGCCTCATGGGCTCCGCAGCCCCGTCCGCACCGCGGCCCGCTCACCTGCACCTGTTTGCGGAAGTGGCGCGGCCCCGGCATAACCGACGACCAGGCGCAAAAGCACCAGCAGCAGCAATGCAGGTGGCCCCGGCATCTCGTCCACGGTGCAGCCCCTCTGGGCGGTTCTCGGGTCGTCTTCCGTGGGTCCGTCCGTCTGCCAGTCGGTCCTGCCTCAGCGGCACCCGCGCCGGCTGCCCCTAAGCACGCGTTGCTTCGGCCCAAATTCAACTCGGCTCCTGGTCCGCACCCGCCGCTCCGGCTGCAGAAGCATCATCCTTTCCGCCTGCCTGCGCCGCCGCTGCCGCAGCCTCTCAACAGCAGCAACAGCAGTGACCCTGCGGAGCCGCGGGCCCCGGCAGCTGCGCTCCCGACGCCATAATGGGCTGCGTCATGTGACGTAGCGCGGGGGCGGAACTCCGTGATGGACAGATGGGCAGCCAATCGTCAATCCGGACCGGTCCCGGAGGCCCAGCCCATCTTTCTGGAGGAGGACAGGGGAGCGCCGGGGCGCCCCCTGCAGACAGAGGAGTGCGTGGGCAGCAGGTAAAACCGACAATTATTTAAAATTTTAAATACAGGGGTATATAAAACAGATCATAAAAATACATCCAGAATTCATCCTGATTTCCTCAGTATTTTTACCACCAAAATATATCCGTTTTATCTTCTACCTCTTTTACTTGTTAAAGCCGTTTTAGGTTCTTCTTAGGTTGACCTACACATCCTGTCAGCCTTCAAGCAGTTTTGGGCTTTTTATTTCAATTCAACAGGTACAGAATGTCTCTCAGCTTGTCGCCCACTGACTCAGTTCCTGTCAAGAGAGCCCTTTCTGTCCCCTCTTATCCACCTGGAAGGCACTCTCCCTTTCATCTGTCAAGGCACACCTGAAAAATGACTTCATCTAGGACGGCTCCTCCCCAATCCCGACTAGCGTCTCCTAGTGCCTTACCCTAGCCCTTGGATGGACTGCAACCCCATTGCCATGTTTTGTTGTTCATGTGACTGTAAGCTCTCTGAGGACAGCAGCTGTGTCCGACTGATTGAGCTGGGAGTGCCTAGGAGCTGGTAATGGGCTTAGCTTGGGGTAGGTGTTTTCTAAAGGAATGGTGCTAGGGCTTGATCCTGGGTACCAGTCAGGAGCACCTTCCAGGTAAGGCAGAAACCTTAGTCCTGCAGAAGGAGTGAAGGAACCCCTTTCTAATCATGCATAACATTATGGTCAAAGACCTTGGGGTTGGGGAAATGTCTAACTTTTCTGGAGAAGCCCTATGGCCCAGTTTGTGCATGAAAGGAACTGTTTGAATCATATCAACTGGCCATAAAGGCACCTGCCAAATTCTCCCAACTCCCCAAATATCTCTTCTAAATGCCAGCTGTCTGTGGTGCTAACCCAGCACTGGACACACAAACAATGCCCAGGGACCATTTTGTTAAATGATTGAGGCAAGTCACTAAATAGCTAAGCTGAGCTGGCCTCCTCCAGCTATGTGACACACTGAGCTAGAGACTCCATGGCTTTCTGCCTTTCTGCTGATCATTCTGTGGGAAAGGGAAGGGAGGCAAAGGTCTAGAAAATAGACACAATCACTCTGTTGTGTTTCTACTTCTATCAGGAAGCCCTTTGGATCAAGGAAGTCAGGCAACACTCACACTATATACTCCATGACTATTGACAGCACTGCTGGCCCAAGGAAGGCCTTGCCTCATAATCCTCATGGTAGTTAGTCATAATTCTAGTGCACCCCAAACATGTCATTCTGTAATCACAAAGTAGGTTTTGTTATTATTTGAATAAGTCACCAAGTTGTTGTTTTTTTAGCACACACATACAACTTTTTCCCCTTGTACAGAGCAGGGGTTAAGGTACACATTCCTCAGACGATGTCTAATGGAAACCTTGACCCTACCTCACCATTTATGCCTTTGGCCAGTATTTCCCTTGAAGACTTCTAGTTAGAGATTTAACAAAACAAATAAAAACTCCTTTGTTAACTTTCATCTAAGAATTAGAAAACACCATTTAGCACGATTTGGCATTGGATTCCCAGGATTTGATGCAATATATTTCAGTGTTTCTGTTGCTGATCTCACATGTGCCACTGCCTTTTCCAAGCTTTGCTCCATGCCAAGTCATCACATGGAAGACCCAACTGGCTATATGTGTCCTGCCAGGGAGTTCTGGCAGAGATTTGCATGCTGAAGGATATGGAATTAGTTTAGTACCAGGTGAGTTACACCTCTGAGACCTGGCACACACCAGATAGGGTAAAAGTTTGCCGGAGCTTAGCTGGGTCAAATGGGCAGCCAAGAAGGTCCTGGTATTGGTGGGTACTGGAGAAAGCTTGTGCCAGCTCATGAAAGCCAATGGTTAGATCTTTAGGAATTTGCATGCCAATTGTTAAGCATGGCCATTATTAAATATTAAATTAGATAAATTTACAGTTAAAAATTATATGAAAAACAAAAGTAAGGAGGAGAAGGGCTTCCAGAATAGGAAGCAACAAGAATTGGCAAAAAGTGTCAAAATGAACTTCTTCAGAACTCTACAAATCAGTCGAAAGGCTGCAAAAACAGCGAGATCTCAGTAAGAATAACAAGTTTTGTGGCATTTTTCTCTTGCCCTATTCCTATTTTTCTCGCCCCACCTCTGTGATAGCACTGAAAGTGAGCAGCCTCACCACCATGGTAACTGTGAAGATAGGCAACCTAGAAGCTACTGGAGGGGACAGAACAGGTTTGGGGCAAGGCCGAAAGCTCAATCCCCAGATGGTTGTCACTATTTGGTCTGTCTGGCAGCACCCAGGAAAGGTACCATTTTATGCCCAGTTTGTTGGAAATAATCAGTGACAATCACTCAACATTGCAGCTGCCCAAGCCAGTGACATCCATTAACTGTTCAAAAACTTAAAAGAAAACTCTAGGGAATAATATGTTGATAGTGGCTTTGAAAAATTGCATCATATTCTTGGAAATCTAGACAGCCACGTACATATATAGGGCTACAAATTTGTCCAGGAAAGACATGAGAAGGCCCTCATTTCTCATCCTTGGCTGACCTTGAAACTATGGGAGGAGGAAGTAAGGACTGAGACAGAATTGTAGGCTGCAGGAGCCCTGGATGTATGCACCAACACACACACCACACCAGGGAGGCATATCTGTTCAAGCCATTTAAGGAAATCTCTGGACAATCATAAGCTGACCATTAAGATAACAGAACAGAGAAGTTAGTGGCCTGCACAATCTAAAAAGAGGGAGAGACTATAGAATTAGTGCAGGAAAGTCACTTAAAAAGTGGTAGGGCCGGGGATGTAGCTCAGCAACACAGCACCTGCCTGGCAAGTGCAAGGTCCTGAGTTTGATCCCCCCCCCCAAAAAAAAACTGAATAGTGGCAGCAGCTATAACAATAAGCATTGGGAGGCTGAGGCAGGACGATTTCCATGAGTTCAAGTCAGCCTGGGCTACATAGTAAATTCAAGACCAGCCTGATCTACATAGAGAGACCCTGTCTCAAAAAACTAAATCAAAACAAAACACACACACACACACACACACACACACACACACACAAACAATAAGCAGCATAAACAATGCAAACCCTCAGGAAAGGGACATAACGGGTAACATTGATTTTCAGAGTTTCCACATTATAGTACTGAAAATGTCCAGTTATCAAGAAACAATTACAGGGCATGCAAAGAAACAGAAAAATATGTGTCTGTGTATACAGGCTGAAAAGGCAATCAATAAAACTTTTTCCCGAGGAAGCTGAGAAGTAGGACATAATAGACAAAGATTCTAAATAACATATATGAACCAGAGTTTAGTTGAAACACACTAAAAAAGACCTCAAAATATGAAAAGACATCCCATATTTATGGATTAGAACACTTAATATTGTTAAGGCAACACTGCCCAAACTGATCTACTGGTTTTTTGGGGGGTTTTTTGAGAAATTGAGACGTTAAGTCCTATTATTCACATGGAAATTTAAAGGATGCAGAATAGTCAAAATAATCCTGAAAACAAAGTTGGGGGATTCACACTTCATGACTTCAAAATATACAGCAAAACTATAGTAATCAAAAGAATACTGCACTGGCATATATAGGTTAAACAATAGAATTGGGAGTTCAAAATAAATCTTAATATTTAGTCAATTGATTTTCAACAAGAGTACCCAAACAATTCAATAGGAAAGAATGGTTTTTGAACGAGTATTGAGTACAGTTGCTATTCATATGCAAAAAATATGGTGGACCCCTAATAAACACCGTGTGTGAAAATTAACCAAGCATGGTGATATGTGGCTGTAATCCCAGCACTCAGAAACCTGAGGCAGTAGGGGCTCAAGTCCAGCATGGGTTGCATAGTGAGCTCAAGGATGGCTGGACTACATGGCCCCACCTCAAGACAAAACAAAAACCTCAAAATGGATCAAGAAATGGATCGAGAACCTAAGTAAGAGTGAAACTCCTAGAAGAATATATAGGCATAAATCTTCATGATCTTGGATTAGGTGATGGATTTAGAGATCAGATACCATGAGCACAACTGAACAAAGAAAAATAAGTAAAGTTTGCTTCATCAAAATTTAAAACTTTATTGCTTCAAAGAGCCACCACCACAAAGTAAAAAGATAACACATATAATGGGAGAAAATATTTGCAAATCATATATCTGATATGATACTTGGATGCAGAAGATGAAGAATTCTTAGAACTCAATGACAAAAAGGTAAATGACTCAAAAACTTGACAAGAGAATATGAATGTACATTTCTTCAAAGACTATATACAAATGGACAAAAAGATGAAAAGATGCTCAGTAACGTCAGGGAAATGCAAATCAATGCCATTTCATATCCACTAGAATGACTTTTATTTTTTTTGGAGGGGGGGACCGGGGATTGAACTCAGTACCTTCTGCTTTTGAGGCAGGCGGTGGAACCACTGAGGTAAAGCCCCGGCCCATAGGATGACTTTTAAAAGATCCACTAAGCCAGGCATGGTAGCACCTGTCTATAATCCCAGCTACATGGGAGACTGAGGCAGGAGGATTACAGGTTAAAAGTCAGCCTGGGCAACTAAGTGAGATGTTGACTCAAAATAAAAAATAAAAACCTATTGGGGATGCAACCATGCGAGACCCTGGATTCGATCCCCAGGACTGAAAAAATAATAAAAGACACAAGTGTTGGTGAAAATGTGAAGAGACCAGAAACCTCATTCATTGCTCATTGCACTATAAATTGATGCAGCTGCCATGAAATTCAGGAAATTCCTCAAAATGTGAAACATAGAGGCATCTTATATCCAGGAGTTCCATTTCTAGAGTTATGCCCAAGAGAAACAAAAGTGGACATCCAGACAAATACTTGTACATGAATGTTCATTGAAGTATTATTCCAGATAGCCCAAACCCAAAAATTTCCCAATCAACTAATAGATGGGCTAACACAAGGTGGTATACCATACGATGGTATATTATTTGGCAACGAAAAGGAATGAATTGGTGACCCTTGCTACAGTGTGCATGAACCTTGAAAACATTAGGCCATGTGAAAGAAGCAAGCCACCAAGGTCACATGTATGATTTCATTTTTCTAAATTGTCTAGGCAAATCCATAGAGACAGAAAATAGATTTGTTGTTGCCAGAGGCTGAGTGGGGCAAGGAATGGGAGTACTAATAAGGGTAGGGTTTCTTTTTTTGAAGTAATAAAAATATTCCAAAATTAAATAATAGCGATGATTATACAGCTTGTGACTACACTAAAACCCACTTTTTTTTTTTTTTTGGTACCGGGGATTAAATTTGGGTCCTTGCGCTTGCGCAGCAGGCGGCAAAACCACTGGGCTAAATCCCCAGCCCTAAAACCCACATTTAAGTGGAGGAAGTTTTACAATTTGTGAATTAAATCTCCATGAAAAAAAAATTTTTTTTGGCACCAGGCATCAAACTCGGGACCTTGGGCTTTCGAGGCAGGCAGCGGAACCACTGAGCTAAATCCCTGGCCCTCAGTGAAATTTTTATTTAAGAAACAAAGATTTCAGCACTCTGGGAGGCTGAGGCAGGAAGATAGCAAATTTGAGCCCAACTTAGCAAGTTAGCGAGACCCTGTCTCAAAAATGAGAAACAAAAAGGGACTGGAAATGTAACTCAGTGAGAAGGACCTGGTTCAATCCTCAGTACTGCCCAAAAGAAGAAAGGAAGGTAGGAAGAAAGCAAGAAAGGAAGAAAGGGAGGGAGGGAGAGAGGGAGGAGAGGGAGACTAAAAAGCTATTGGTTCCTAATTATTTCACTATGCATGTTTTACTGTTATCTATGTCTTGAGGTTGTTTGCATCTATTGTTTCTGTATTGTGGAACTTAGTAACTTTAGGTTCAAGGACATCAGGTCTGTAGTTTGAAATAAGCCCTGGTGTCAAGTGTTTATACCACAGAAATCTGCCAACACTGCTAGTGAGTGCTCTATTCCCCCAGAGAGCTGCGTGTTTGCCATTCCCTAGCACACCAGTGGGCCGTCTGTGTTGCTGTCTACTGACAAAGGACCATCCTCTCTACTCCAAGACCGGGGTTCTTTCTTGACTCAAATTCTTCTTGTGGTTGAATCTTTGTAATCCATCCTAAGGCAAAGAAGGAGACGAAGGAGGCTAAAAGTCCTCTGCTTCTTCCTCCCTTTCTGCCAATCAAAGGCCATACCACCTCCTGAAGTCTGTATCTGCAAGATGTGCTGGCATTCCTTCTAAATGCCTCAATGTGCAGTCTCCTTTGCCTGTAGATCCTCTGTTTAATACTGTCTGACTCAGGAAGAGCTCAACAGATGTCTTTCAGATCCCGAGGCACCTCCCATTTTAGAGATAGGAGAGATCCACTGTGATAAAAATAATGTGCTAAAATTTATGTCTGACAAATTGCACTTTTTTTTTGGTACTTAAACCCAGGGAGCACTGAACTACATCCTCAGCCCTGATTCAAAATTTATTTTGAGACAGGGGCTTACTAAGTTGACAGGCTGACCTCAAACTTGTGATCTTCCTGCCTCAGCCTCCCAGAATGCTAGTATTATAGGCATGTGTCATCACATTTGGCAAATTAATATTGTGTGTGTGTGTGTGTGTGTGTGTGTGTGTGTGTGTGAGTGTGTGTGGGCAGGGCTGAGAATTGAACTATGGGTTTTGCAATGGTAGGCAAGCACTTTACCACTGAGCTACTTCCATAGCCCACAAATTAACACTTTTAATATACATAATTTATACCGCAATATAATGATGCTATCCATAAGATAATTTTAGGGTTTATAAAAAGTCTACAACAGACGGTAAGATTCAGGAACGGAATGCCACTTTCAAATATTATTATGAACAGATATTTTTCCAAGCTCATCAGTACGTATGCCTTCATTTGGAGGTAAGTTTTATTTAACCGTGACTTACAGATCACTTTTGATGTGTCAGACACTGCTCTAAGCACTTTATAAGTAATAACTCTTCAACTTCTTCTAATTTTAGAATATTCTGTCATCCACAAAAGGAACTCTACCCATTTGCAGTCATTCCCCATTCCTCCTGGCAACCACTGATCTATTTCCTGCCTCTGTGGTTGTATCCATTCTGGATATTTTGTATAAATGAAATCCTACACTATATGGCTGTTTTGTGGCTACAGTATATGACTTGACCTGTTTGTATTCCCATTTTGCAGATGAGAATACAGAAACAGAGACGTTAAGTACCTTGACCCAGGTCACACCACTAGGAAGTGGCAGAAATAGGATCCAAATTCAGGCAGCCTGGCTCCAGAGTTCTTGGTAAGTCCAACAGTCAAAACTGAATAATGTCAAAGGTGGACGTTGAGGACCTTTTGTGAATATGACACGTGGGCCAAATAGTTCAGTGTAGCCTCTCAGGTAAGAGATTAGGGTTTGCCTTCCGGTGGGGCCAGAGACAGAGGGGTTGGAGAATAGAAATGAGGGAACAAGTGTTCCCCAGAAAATAGTAGTTGCTCGATAAACCTTTGTCTCTTAACAAAGATAGAATCTACCCCTGGAATGAGCATTTGTATTTTAAATCTCTTTGGCCTGCCCAGGAGCTGAATTCCTTCCCATGTTGAAAAACTTCAGTAATATAATCTTGGCAGTAGGAAGGTTCAGTCGCACTAACAAGACTAAGAGCCAGGCGTACCCTCTGGGGCCCCAGGAGCCAGGACATGGGCACCATTCCCGTGGTTCAAGATGTCACACTGGCCCCACAATTCCCAGGCCAGGCCCCGGTGACCACCCCACCGCCCAGCCCCTTGGGTGCTCTGCATGTCCTGAGCCCCCAGCTCTCTGTGCCTGTTCCCTCCTCCCCAGCCTTCTGAACCTGTTCAGATGATTCTCATCACCACCTCTCTGCTACTTTGAGCTTCTGCAAAGACCCTTGGCTGCTCTTTCCTGGGGCTGTAGCCAGGGCCACAGGGGCCCTCTGGAGGAATCCTGCAGGGACCCACCCGACCCCCTCCTCATTCAGGCATTCACGAAGCATCAGTTATGTGCACATCTCTGTGCTGGGCACCTGGGTCCGTGATGGACCAGACAGACTCAGTCTTTGTCCTGCTGCAGCTTCTGCCTGTCTGGCACCAAAATCGCACAGACAGTTTTGAAAGTCACTGTCCATGCGCTCTTGTGATCTGCTAGATGTCAAAGGGTATGTCTGCAAGGTGACCAGACCTGGCTCTTTCCGTTTCCAGCCTCAGGGCAAACACAGGCTGTTCACCATGACTGTGGGCCCACACTACCTTGCTTCTGGGTACATCATTCCCTGGAGTGGGCTGTCTGTAAGTGGGGAGGAAATAGCTCCCGGGCCTCCAGTCTGTGGGCTGTGGGTGGGGGCCCCTGGTGGAAGGTTCCAGGAGGGAGGAAGGTGCCTGTCTCTGTCCCGCACCCACCTTGCCCTGGCTCACCCACCCTGCTTCTCCTAAGGTCTATGCAGCAGCCTCAAAGAAGCTCCTTGTCTGTGTGGCCATTGTTAGTGTGTCTGTGTACTGCTGGCTTCTCTTACACAGGGCACACCTGCGGTGTGTCAGCTGTGGCCCAGTCAGTAGGGCGTGGCCCAAGCTGCAGTTCCTGCTCTCAGGGAGGTCACTTTTAGTACAGGGAAGGCCAGGATCACTGGGAAACCCCGCCTGCCAGTCCTGAGACCCTTGCCCCAAGTTGGGAGTCACCGCCTTCTTGGTTCCTGCCAGGCCAGCTGAGCAGGGCTGGGCAGGTGCAGGCTGGCACGTGGGCAGGTGGGGCCGGGCTCCTTGGCTCATGGAGACCAGTCCACCCCTGCAGTGTCACCCTCTGGCCCTTCCCTGACTGGCACTGGTCCAGAAGGGATTTCAGGAAGCTGGGTGGGGACTACCAGCAAAGCAAGTTCCTGCAAAGCCAGCCTGGCCTTTCCACCTCCTCCTGGGATGCCACCTATCCCATCTGAGGTGCCTGTGGCGTTCCAAGGAATCCAGCAAGATGGAGGAGGGGGCCTTTTCCTGTAAGCGTTGGCCTGATCTGAAGCCCCTACTCCCCAGCTTCTCTAGGGCAGTAGGGCTCACCTCTGGCCCACTGTTTTTGGCTCTCCTGTCTTTTTATGTTCCAAGAAATAACATATTTTTTAAAGACAACGGTAAAAGAAATGAAATAACTTGACAAAAATAAAGTTTTCTTTAACAACCACAAGTGTATATGAACACCTGTATAGGCACAGTCATGCTGGACCCAAAATGATTTGCCCCCTCCCTGTTTTTTTGCAGTACGGGGGATCGAACTCAGGACATTGCACTTGCAAGATAGGCGCAGCACCACTGAGCTAAATCTGATCCTGGGCCCCCTGTTTTTCAAGTAAGGAGGAATTGTCTTGGGGCACATATAAATATATATAATGTAGTTTATGTATGTAAATAATAAAACTTCCTCTTAAAAAAATAACATTAAGGGGCCAGGTATTTACCTCAGTGGGGCCACACCTGCCTTGCAAACGCAAGGTCCTGAGTTCCATCCCCAGTACAAAAACAAACAAACAAAGAAAATTTTATTTTTGGAATTTTTTGGGTTTTTGGTACTGGGGATCGAACTAGGGACCTTGTGCTTGCGAGGCAGACGCCAGAACCACTGAGCTACATCCCCAGCCCTAAAATTTCATTTTTAATTGTATATATAAAGTATGCAACATGATGCGTTCAGATGTGTATACAGTGAAACAGTTACTGTGGTCTGCCAAATTAACATATCCGTCATCTCACTAGTTCCCCACTAGTGAGTGTGTGTGAAGAGCACCCAAATACAATATAACTTTAAATATAGTCCTCTAGATGTGCACCGAATCTCTAACATACCTGCTACTGTGCATTGACCTATCTCCTACCTGACTCCTTCAAACCTGGTGGTGAGTGGTGACTGTCCTCAGAGGCTGGCTAGGTGGGCGAGGGGCCTGGCCAGGGAGCCAGCGTCCAACAGGGCCTGATGGGCCCCCAGAAAGGCATGATTGCCCTGCACAGGGACCAGCACAGAAGCTCTGTCGGTAGACACCGACGCAGGTCAATGTCGTTTCAGGGGGGCGTGAGAAACAGAGAGTGACATCCTGGTGTGGCCACATGAGGAACTGAGAGAAGTACATAGCAACAGAGAGCACCCCAGCCAGAGCGGGAGGCCAGAAGTTCTCAAAATGCAGGAGAGGAGAATCACACAAATATGACCAGGCAGGGAGTGATCATGTTAACAAGAAAAATGCCTGTGTTGCCATGTTAAGAGGAGGCAGTGTGAGACCATATGCATATGCATATTTATATTCATATCATGCATATTCATAGGACTGGAAAGAAATCATCCAAACATGAGACCACTAGCAGTGGTTGTCTGAATGGAGGGACTACGGCTATTTCTTTTCTTCTTCTTTTTTTCAAAATTTTCTCATTCTTCTATAATGAACCTGAACTCTTTTACAAGCAAAAGAGAGGATCTGTTTGTGTATTTGTTTTTAAACTGATAGATTTTACAGATGAGATTTTCACCTCCTGGAAAATATCACATCAAGGACAGAGACTTTGTCCCTGGTATAGCCCCACAATTAGAAAATCATGAGGAATTTTTTAAAACATGCTTTATACCATGGCAATGATTACATATGGCACCAAAATGATAATATTCGTTTCTAAACCTTTATATTCATGGCCAAGCCAGGCCATGTTTTATTTCACACCTTGGGCTCTGGGTCCTTGATTATTCACTGTTACCCTCACCAACTCACTTACTGGATCTGCTGCCTGCTGGGAGGTGTTAAAAAAAGCCCTTTTTAAGAGAGATAATTGAATCTGCTGAGGGAAGTGGAGTGTTTTATTTTTGGAGGGGATGGTTGGCTACATTCCATGGAGTCTTTTTAAATTTTACTTGAAGAATTGGTACCGTCTGGTGATGGTTTATAGCTTTTCGATTTTGCTGTTCTGCATTGTTTCTGGGCAAGGTACAGGTGCTTGGGGAAGAAGTTCTCTTCTGCATGTTTTTATTCAAATGTAGGGGTGTCTGTGTGTCTGTGTTCCAAAGGCAGCTAGAGTGCTTGAAGAGCCAGCTTGTTTGGAAACAAAAACTTGGGGTGCTTTGGGAATGTCTGAGTTTCACAAGTGGAGTGTGATGGTTCAGGGGGTCTCTGTCTGCAGGTGCCACCAATCAGTTAGTAGACATTAGTGAATCAGCCAGCTGCTTTTTCACAGAAGGGCCAGGTGGAGGGGGAAACGGTGGCTGGTTCTTTTCCTCTGTATTGATTACAGTCATGGATGAAGTGAGTGAACTGATAGGCTGTGTTGGTGATATGTCACTTGGCTTTACTCCTGCTAATAAGATCCAGTGAGAGTCTTTGAAGACATTGCTCTGAGCAGGCAGCCAATCTTCATTATCACATAAATATACGTAAGAGTTACCATTCTGACTGCTCCTAAGTGCACAGTTCCAAGGCTTTAGGCGCATTCCCTGTTGTGCAGCCATCACCACCATCTCCAGCATTTTTCCACTTTCCCAAACTGAGACTCTGTGCACATTAAGCGCTAACTCTCCATCCACTCCCCCAGCCCCTGAAACCCACCCTTCTCCCTCATTTGACCAAATTTGGCTACAACTCTAGGCATCTCATACAACTGGACTAGTATAGTGTTTTTGTCCTTTTGTGTCTGACTTCTTTCATTAGCACAGGGTTGCCAGGGTTCACCTACACTGTGTCGTGCATGTATCAGTGCTTTATTCCTTTCTGAGGCTGAATACGATTCCACTGGATCGATATGCCACATTTTATTTATCCATTTATCCATTCACCCACCAATGGATACTTGTGTTGCTTCTACTTTTTGGCTCTTGTGAAAGATGCTGCTATGAACATTGGTGTGTATCTGTTTGTGTCCCTGTTTTTAGTTTTTTGGAGTATATGTATACCCAGATGTGGGGTTGCTGAACAAGCAGATTTCAATGGAAACAGAAACTAGGCCACTTGAAAGTCCCCTGGCTCCTGATTCTTCTTGTTGCCTCTGGGGCAACTCCCGGGAGATTTACAAAACAGCAGCAGCAAACCGAGACCATCAGTCTGAGTTGGAAGGGTCTTCAGAAGCCATCAAGTCCTCAGCCCCCACTTATGGATGAAGAATTTGTACTGAATCCAGTCATGCCACAAGCCAGTTCCTTCATCCTGGTCGTGAAGCCTGGGCCTGGGGCACAGCTACTTCACTTATCCTCTTGGAGACAAAGGAAAATGGAACAGTTCATCTGGAGAAGGAGGTGGAGGGGAGATTTTCTGCTGGGTATCTCTGGGGGCTTCCCCTCAGGATGGCCCAGGGGACTTCAAGAGGCACCACACAGACTCATTAAATCCAAAGTGACAGGCAAAATAAAGCATTCAAGGTACAGCTGATTAAGTCATAGAGTTTAGCCACAGTCCACCAGGGATTTCCTCCATCCCAGCATAAAGCTCTGTCCAGCAAACAGCCTGCTGATTCTGGCTTGGCAACATCCATGAGAGGGCTGGAGGTGGACACAGCAGCCATTTGGCAATCTTTCTGCCTGGCCACAGGAGCCTGGTGATCACTCTCTCTGCCTCCCTTGAAGCCGAGGTCCTGCCACGTGACCAGTCAAAGGCTAGGGTGAAAGAGAAGCAGAAGCAGACAGGTCCATGTCAAAGGAGGGGGACATAGCTGCATCGAATGTCCACACAGGGACTCCCCAGGCTGCTCTTTGCTCCCAGCAACATTAGCAGTGGTGGCTCCCTCAGACTCGAGTCCCTTCGGGCTTGTTCCTGGCTGTGTAGACTTCAAGCCAGTTCCTGCAGCCTTCCTGGAGACTGAGTTACCTTGTGGTTACAATAAAAAATCTGGACTGATTCATCAGATTATTTATTAGTTAGCGTAAGTTCAGCTGTGAAGATGAGTCACACCCTCCTTACTCCCATGTCTCCAAATAAGAGTGCTTTACAGAAGAAAGCTTGTGTCTTTCCCACTTAAAAGACTGGATATAACTGGGCATAGTGGTGTCTACCTGTGACCCCAGTCGTCTGGGAGGCTGAGGCAGGAGGATCACAAGTCTGAGAATAGCATAGGGAACATCATGACTTAGATCTCGTCACAAAATTTTTTTTAAAAGTGGAGAAATTGGAATATAGCTCAGTACAAAGGACCTAGGTTCAGTCCCCACTAACACACGCACGCACGAGACCAGATGGGCAGTCAGTCTTGGCCAGTCCAGCAGCCCAGAGCCTAGGTGCCTTGGACCCTTCCAGTTGCTCATCCTGCCGTCTCTCAGGTGTGGCCTCACCCTTGTGGTCCAGGGTAAAAGCTGAAATTGCACCCGTCACATTCACATCCCAAATTTTTAAAAAATGGAAGACAAAGAAGAGGTAAAGAGTTTGAACAGCCGTGGTCCCTGAACACTTAGAACTCAGTGACTCACGTATGGCCATACCACCCTGAACATGCCCTATCTCGCCTGATCTCGGAAGCTAAACAGGGCCAGGCCTGGTTAGTACTTGAACGGGAGGCCGCCTGGGAATACTGGGTGCTGTAGGCTTTTGCACCCTTCCTTGGGCCAGCGATTTAGCTCAGTGGCACCGCACCTGCCTCGCAAGTGCAAGGTCCTGAGTTTAATCCCCAGTACCAATAAAAGAAGAATCCAGTGGCCTTTCCAGAATTAGACAATGGTGATTGTTGTACAACTTTGTAAATTTCACTGAAAAATTCCTAAATTGTACATGTTAATTGAATAAATTTTATGGTATGTAAATTATATCTCAGTTGGGGGAAAAAAAGCCCAACCTAGTGGCTCAGGCCTATAATCCCAGCACTCTGGGAGGCTGAGGAAGGAGGATGGAAAATTGGAGCTCAGCCTGAGCAACTTAGCAATTTAGCAAGACCCTGTCTCAAAATAAAAAAGACCAGGGATTTAGCTCAGGGTGAAGGCCCTGGGTTCAATCCTCAGTACTGAAAAAAAAAAAAAAAGCCTAGTATTTAGACACATGACTCCCTCCTGCTAGAGGTATCCTAAAACACTTATCCTATGTGTTTTATCCTTCAGCTCTCCCATGCTAGTCAGAGTCCTGGAATGGATGCCCGCATTCACGTGAAGGGGTTCCCCCTAGTTTCTTAGGGTCATGGCCCAGTTAACTAAGAACAAGGAATTTGAACATTCTGGGCCCTGGGTGGAGGACTGTCTTAGTTATTTCATCATCACTGAGACACAATACCCAACATTTACAAGTTAGAAGAAGAAGGTTTATTTTGGTTCAAAGTTTGTAGAGGTTTTAGTCCATAATTAGCTGGCTCCAAGGCAGGACAGCATGGCACAGGGACATACGGAGAAATAGCTGCTCACCT